CTTTTAGCTGTGATGCTTGAACAAGCATTTGAATACTGTTACCTTTTAGCCAAACCAGTTATATTAAGTAAGTATGGATTTCATCTCATTCTTTCTGATGATCCATACAAGAAATGCGAGCAGGTATTACAATTTTTGTAAATATTTTAGTTGATAATTTTGTTTTACTATTAGTACTTAATAGATAATTTTCTTTAATACTTACTCATAATAGCAAATGTATTTATAGCTTTTCATCCAAAAAGAACAAATGTTAACTTGAATAAACATCATATGCCAAGTGCAATTGTGTTGATCATTGCTTTATGTATGGTATGATAGATTGGTTTTTAACTTTTTTATTTTTTTATTTTTATTTTTATACGTAGACTTGTTGGCAAGCAACTTAAGACATAATAATAGTGGATATCCATCTGGATTCAATGTGAGTATGTAGTCTGCTTTCTCAATACTCTGGATGAAATTAGTTTAATAGGAGAAGATTGTGAAATAAGACATGAGTAGTTGATAGATACATATGTTTCACACATATGAGATTAATTTTGGGGATTATGTTTTAAAGGATCCTCATGAAGGTTAGGATTTGATATTAATTAGTTGATACATATGTTTCTCACATATGGGATTAATTTTGCCTAAATCAATGTACATTTTTTGCTGTTCCATCGTTTGTTTTTATTATTTTTATTTTTATCAACTATAGCTTTCATGTTCATATATACACTCTTAATGTAAACCCTCTGGCCTCTACATTTCATCACCATAGTTACTGATTTTGTTGTTGTGGTAGTTAGTGGTAGAACAAGCGTACAATGTCGTTCTTCCAGAGAAATTGAAGATAGTAAATTGGTACCTTACAATTGTACATCATAATTTTGTGTACTAATACTTTCTTCACTAAAATTGTATATATTTGGAAAAAAACACATCACTAATTTGCTTCCACAATAGGTATGCCTCTGAAACCTTCCGAGATTACAAGTAGATGGAGTTATTATTGGAGTAGAGTATATTGAGTAGTTTATTATTTTTTAAGGCGGATTAGGTACACAACAATTACTTTATAATTTATTTATCTGCATTTTTTTAAAGATACAAATGGATGACTTATCCAAGGTATGTCACTTGTATACTAATTTATCCTTATTGGTTTTGCACCTTTTCAAAGAAAATCAAGTTCATGACAAAACAACTCTTTCTTTATGGCTTACTTGCTATATTTTCATTGGTGTAGGTTAACAACTTGAAATTGTTTCATTTTTTTAGAAAATAGAATTGAGTTTTCATTTTCTGTTTTCAATGAAAATTTTAAAAAATGCGTTTGGTTAAAACCGGTGGAGTTTTCATTTTCCATCTTAGAAATTTGGAAAACTGTAAAACTCGCTTTTCTAATTTACATACAATTTGAAAAACTGAAAAATTTTCATTTTCATAGAAAACTTTGAAAAACTGAACGAACCAAACGCGTTTTTAAAGTTTCTGTTTTTTTTTTTGGAAAAAAAATTTCCACAACCAAACGCATCCTTAGGGTTTCACTGTTTTGGTTGTATTGAATATCATGAATCCTTGGATTGCATCAAGTTCCTGATTACATATGGCCATCTGGTAAAACCAAAATGATATTTGTTATACTTTCCTTGATAATTATCTTTCTGTTACAAAAATCTCTTAGGAATAATATCTTATTTTATCCCTTGTTATAGTAGCATTTGACAAATTAGTGGCTTATGATGCTTTAATGCTTTTGTGCTTCACTTATTAGACGGTAGTTATTGTTTAATTGAACCCTAAACGAATGAAAAATCTATCTGCATGCGGGATCATAACATAGTCAACCCCAACAACAAGGCTGTTGTTGCCTTAAGTTAATCCAATTCTTTAAACCTGATTGATTGCTTGGATGCCAACTACTTTGACTTTATAATTAATGTAGAATTTGTTTATTTTACTGCTTTATGATTTGAAATTTGTTTATATTTGTTGTTCTTGTATTACAACCTTTTCTTGATTTTGGAATGGATGAAGCAATGAAGGTTGGTTTGTTTCAAGAAAGAAAAGCATTTCACATTGAATTTAGAACTGTATATGGAGTAGTATTATCTTGGGGTTTTTTGGCACCGTTGTCTACACACCATAAGGATATCATGTAAACAGGTCAATTTTTTTTTTTTTTTTTACTTATCTCCATTTTTGATTCTTTTTATATCATTAGGATTAGTATTTATTAGAGGGTTGGGGCTAAATAGTGTCTGTTTTATTTAACATGTACTTAGTTGCATTAATTATTCACGTTTGGTGTAAATTAGTTACCATTATGTCATTTTTTTTTTCTATAAATCTGTGAAATATCACTTAAAAAAATAGTTAAGTGAATGAAACATATATTTGGGTGATAATCATTCTAACATCATCTGGAAGGGATCCAAGTATAACCTCTCATAGCTTTGCACCTGATCAGATGATGTTTAAAGGCCAACATATATTTTTCCTTTTTCAAAATTAGAGAAGTTGGTGTATGTATGAACTATGAAGCTTCATTGATTTAAATTTAGTCATGTAATGTTTCTGTCTTCATTTTCAGATTATTATTATTATTATTATTATTATTATTATTATTATTATTATTATTATTATTATATTGAATAATGGCAACAAGAGAGGCATATCAGATGGTGCAGCAAGTGTCTTTACCAATGATGAATATATATATATATATATATATATATATATATATATATATATATATATATATATATATATAACCGAAATTGATCATATGATAACAACAAGCCTTAAAATGCATGCTAAAATTTTTGAAGGAAAATTGTGGGAAATTACAACGTACTCTGCCCTTTTTTACCGATATGTACAAAATACATTATTATTTACTTATAATAGCAATGTTTTTATAGTTTTTTATCCAAATACAACAATCTTTAACTTGAAGAAATGCTAACAGGTTATCTTTTTTTTTTTGGTGGACAAGAGTATTTCAAGAAGAGAATTGGCACAGGGAGATTACATAACCTCTGATAAATTTGAGAAAACATTATATGCCAAGTGCAATTAAGTTGGTCAATGTTAAGTAGTTTATTATTTTTTAAGGCGGATTGTGTACAAAACAAGTACTTAATAATTTATCTGCATTTTTTTAAAGATACAAATGGATGACTTATGCCAAGGCATGTATGTCACTTGTATACTAAGTTCTCCTTGCATGTTGGTTTTGTACCTTTCCAAACAAAATTAAGTTCATGAAAAAACGAATATTTCTTTTTGGCTTACTTGAAATTGTTGGATGACATGGCAGAATTGAGTTCAACCTACTGAGTTACACGATTATATAACAGAGCATATGATGGGTGGGGTATAAATGATCAATTTATGTATTTTTCAATCATTGATAATCAGTTATGTATGTGTGTGTGTGGTTGGTTATTGCAGTGTTATGAATGCAGTGAAGAGGCAAAAAAAACATTTTTTAAATTAAAGGTAACAATTTGCAAAACTTTCTTCAGCTCAAGAGAGGGAAGGCCCCTTGTAGTTTTAGTTCCATACTTTAAAGAATATAAATAACAACTTACTTCATTTATTTGAGTTTTATGCATCCTACACAGTTCATTTCTTTCATTTCTTTTAGATATTTTCTTATTAGGACATTATACTTTTTATAGATGTTTATAGCATTGTACTTTCATCTTCTTCTTATTAGGGTATTGTGCTTTAAAAATTGTATCCAGTTATAACATTTTCTTTTTGTGACATTTTACTTTGAATAACCTACCCTTTTATAGCATCATACTTTCAATTTTTTTTCTTTTTCTTATTAGGACATTACACCTCAAAAAACTTACTTGTATGAATGAGAAGGATGGATGTCCTCTTGTGTCATTTAGGCCCCATGTTTTAGAAGTAAAGCTTGTAGATGTCCTTGAGATGAGATATACATCTGATGATCAACATTCACCATACCCTCGTGGCATGAGGGTGTGTGCTCCAAGGCGGCTGCTACAAAGATGAAGTGAAAATATTTGTATGATGATGATATAATCCTTACTCTCTTCTCTTCTGCTTTTGGTATGTATTATTTAGGTCCAATCCAAAAGGTAGTCTTTTTGCAGTTTTGGTCCTTATTTCATGGTTTCTCAATCGCTTTTGGTACCTGGGTTGTCACATAGATGTTAAATTTATGAAAATGACCATTTTATCCCTGTCGTCTTCGTCTCTTTCTATTCCATTTTCAAGGAGCATGATGAAATTTCAACAAAATTTCTCTCTTTCCTTAGAAATTATTGTCATATGTGTTGAAGGGGCATAACTAAACCCTAAATCCTTTAAAATAAAATCTTTTTGAACATATGGTTAGAAAGTATTGTCATATATGTTGAAGGAGCATAACTAAGCGCTAAATCTTTGAAAATAGTATCTTTTTGAAAATATGGCAGTCATTTCATTGTTTGATAATATTGTGTTTGGTCTCTTGTTCTCAACTTTACCAGCCCATATGTTAAATTTATTATAATGACCATTTTGCCAATATCTTCTTCATCTCTTCCATTTGCATGTTTAAGGAGCATAACTATATCCTAATAGTCATAGAAAAGATTCTCTGAAAAAGAATATTTATTAAAATTTCGGTACCCATTTCATGGTTCCATAACGTTTGTGTTTCATGGGTCGTCAACTTTAGCAACACATGTATTAAATATTTCAACATGACCATTTTGCCCTTGTCTTCTTCATCTCTCTCATTTCCATGTTCAAGCAACATAAATAACACCCCAACTTAAAAAAAAGTTGCATCTGATTTCTTATATGCTTAAAAATTTATGTTATTGTTTCAGATCATCAGAAGACACCCCAACTTAAAAAAAAAAGTTGCATCTGATTTCTTATATGCTTAAAAATTATTGTTATTGTTTCAGATCATCAGAAGACACAAATGTATTTCCGGTGAATAATTTTCAGAAGAACTTTGTATTCATTGGACCTTCGTCTTCACTCAGAGGCTCTCCCTCTAATAACAATCAGAAGATACTACTTCAGAAGACAATCATTTGGGCAGCAGGCTGAGGCCTTGTAGATGGTCAAAGTCAAGGTCAAAATGGAAGGAGAAGAAATCTTTGGGCTTCTAAAGACCACCAGCCTCTTGAAATGGCCCCCATTGATTCCCTTCCATAGTTCCCAAAGAGTCCTTGAGTACTCTCTGACCCTCTTGAGGTAAATTTATATCAGAAAATAAATTAAGAAAAGCTACTTTTTTTTTTTTCCAAAATTAATTAGGCTTTGTCTCATATAATTGTCATGAAAAAGTTATTATTTTTCATCTGTGTAACCCATATAATTAGGCTTTGTCTCATATAATTGTCTCATATGGTAGTTATGTGTAACCCATAATAACAACATACTTGCATTGTCTTTATGGATAAAAACATCGTATTTACAGAATTCCTTTCTTGTATCTCTTTCATTGATTTGGATATTACTAGCAAAATAACTCTGGTCAAAATCTTGGATAAGTCATTTGGTCTGAATGTGTTAGGTTTAACATATCCTAGTTTGTTGGTTTCTTTATGAGGAGCTTAAATCATGTATTGACTATCTATTAACTTTTTTACTCGCTTCAAAATCCTTTTCGGAGAAATTGAATATCCTCCAATCTTTTCTTACTACATATCTTCCTACCCATATGAAATGATGACATGCATCATATTTTGATAAAATTAATTATATTTTTGGGCACTTGTCATTATTTCAAATGGGTAGGAAGAAAAGTAAGAGGAGATTTAATTTCTCTTTTTTGTATTGATTTTGTTCAGATTCAAGGAAAATACCTTTAGGAACAAGGAAGGGTATGGGTGTAATAATTGTCTTTTTCTGTTGCCATCGATGATGCCTCCAGTTATCATATTTTGGTTGTGTATTTCAATTATGATTCCTCTTTGTATAAATTGGAACAGACGAATTCTAAAATTCTAATACATCGATTGTAGTCTTTCCTCGTGATTCCTTTTTATTATTTAGTATTGATGCCCTTTGCCTATTTCCATTTGGTTTTCTGATTACTTATCCCTCCCTACCAGGGGAATCTTTAATCGGATGGACTTTTACATTCTTTCATTCGTCATATCCACTCAAAATTTTCAAGAATTTGGTGAAGCAGCTAAGAATTTTACACTCAAAATTTGTTGATTTCAGTAGATGATCTTTCCTTAATTTCCAATTCTTGTATATGATGTTATCAAAATTTTGAAAATCATTTTTCTTTTTACTAAAATTCTGGATGGTTTGGTTGCTGCAGGTAAATCTGATACATTGTTTGTTACTTAGTTGCAGTTTCAATTCTTGATTTTATAGCTTTAATGCTGAAGATGGAAAAGTGAAACGTGGTTACTTTGTTCAGGTAACTTCAATTTTTTACCACCTTTTATATAATTTTGAATATCGATTATACTTTTTAGATGTGATTGCAGACATGGAGGTCGTTGCTGCATTCCAATGAATTGGAAAGCTTTGGCATGAGAAGTCACAGCCACTTCATCAGTAAAATATTATTTTTAATGCATTTTATTGGATATCTCTTTCTACAGTTTATATGACTCTAAACCATGAGTCCAAGTTTGTGCAATTTATGGGAATAATTATCAGTTACATGTAACTCTTCGGCCTCATATGATGTTTTGGATTCACAGGTGTATTAGCTCAAGGTAAGCATAGACAAATAATTGAAAATTTCTGGCTATTTAACCCTTTCTAGTTTAGGCGAAATAAAGCATATACTCTTGAAACATCTAATCTTTTTACTGTTATATAGTTATTTTGTGACACTTTCACTTTGCATTTATTACAGACCATGTGGTTTCTGACTTTAAAAATTTGGGTTTTTGAATCATTAGTTCCATTTTTTAAACACTTATGAACTTCTTCATATAATAAATCAAATATAAACAGAGTTTATGCCATTTTCAAATTATAAATATGTTATGATGCTTGGTTTAATAAATTAGGTTACATTGATGTGGAATAAGTAGATGCCTACCACTAAGAGGTAATTTATGATTTCCTTTGGTTATTGTAATAAATTATTCAAACCTGGAACATCTAGAAAACTATGATACATAAGCAACATGCTTTTGGTAATTCATGCATTTTTTAGCTATTAGAATCGAGTTTGTTGTTAAAAGTTATTATGATTTATCTCAGGTTTTAGAGAAGTAAGCACATAAGAGATTTATGATCTAGATAAATATCTATTTATTCCTAAATTTAATTACCTATTATGACATTAATTAATACGTATTAGTGGTTTTACTTTTACATAGTTCATAAAGAGTCTTCCAATTTGTCATCTATAGCATGTCCTAACAGTTTCCTTTGTTATGATTCCTTATCCCATCTAAACCTCATTGCATTTCAGTAATATTGTTTTCCAAGAAAATAACCTCTGGTTTTTAACAATAAATTTTTCGTTTTTCATGTTTTGTTTTACCCTTTTGCTTAAATTATTCACCTTCTTCAATCTTTATAGGGTTTAACAGTAATGCCGGGAACATATGCGAAGCAAAATGGAGTCAGTTTTCTGCAATCATAAAGGTTTTTATATCAGACTCCAAACAGTTATTGCTTGCCAGTAGTACTTTGTAAAATCTTAATAAGTTTGTTTGAATACGTTACTTAATAAGTTTCCTAATTCATAAACATGTTAGTAGGTCTGAAAGTGTGACAGGTGGATAAGGTTAAGCCATAAGCATGTTATTATCAAGATATACAATTAGAGATCCGTATAGGTGTCAAGCCACTGAATCGACCCACCCATTGATATTCAATTATTCCTAATTTTATGGAAAACATAATTACAACATAATGTTTTATTACAATATATTATCTAAGAATCATATATTTTTGTTGTTTAGTCACATGGCAACACCTGTTCTAACCAATTGTAGCATTATAAATTTCATACTAACCTATTAAGACTTTTTAGTTTTACTTGTTTCCTATTAAGACATTTCACTTTGAATATCTAACCAATCAAAAGAATTTAACTTTTAAAATATCAAACTTGTTTTTAGTTTGGTGGGCTGAAATGTTTTTTCTCATTTCTCTTTCATTGATTTGGATATTACAAGTAGTTTAACTCTGGTAAAAATCTTGGATTAGTCATTGTCTATTAACATTTTTACTCCATTCCAATCTTATTGTAATGTTGGCTGCCTAACAACAACACACTGTCATCACAAGTTATATAAATTTCTGAAGATTGTAAGTAAAGCTTAATTTATGTATATAATTTCTAATTTGTGGTTACTTGATAGGATAACTGGAGCAGTCAAAGAACACATAGAAATCTGGAGAAAAAGCTAAATGACCACATACTCAAATCTCTTTTTATGAATAACCAATTCTGGCTAACAAAAACATTGTCATCACGGGTTATTATTAGGTTACATAATCTGCCACATAGATTGATTCCCCAAGGTGCATACATTTCTGAAGATTAAGAAACCAAGCTGTACTTTGCTAATTAATTAATATTAAAGAAAAAGCCTTTCTATATTGTTTATAGGCTTCAAATTGTGCATGTTGTATGCATCAGATGTTAGACAAGCACCAAATGTTGAGGTATAAATAAATTTATCTGTTTACATGTTCACAACATTCATCACATAAGAGCTTACATATTATCATTTTAAAATTATTTTTAGTTACTTTCCCTTGCAGCTTCTCAACCTGATTTTGTATCAACATGGTTCTAATTTTTCAATAAAGAATTTGTATGCAATGTACCCTTTGCAGACCATGAAGCCTTTAACCATCTATTACATGTAAGTTTTTAAAGTGCATTGTTGCTCATTCTCCCATTTAATTTACATAGATTTAATTACATTGAATGTGCAGGCCTTTTGGTTGTTTTTTGTTTTTTAAATGACATTGATCCTATCAATAAGTTTGTGGATCTTTTTAACATAAATCAGTTACCCCTGCTTCTGATCATGAACCAAATCCATATGAATTGAATGTTAGTGCATTTCATGTGATACAATCTGTTTCCATCTTTTCAAAAAGTGAAACTTGAATGACATGGACTTTTTGATAGATGTCTAATGCTTGTCCTGGTCTGCATCTTGGCTTTTTGCTCAGCAAAAAGGATGTGGGTGAGGTTCTTTTTGAAAAAAAAAACAATTTTATATAATAGAATAAGTATCCGTAAATATAAACTTTTTAACCTTTCTCAATTGCATCAGTTGAGGGATATTATTCCTAACATGACTTGTTCTAAGTCAGCATGTTGTTCTTCTTTCCTACCTTTTCTATTTTAATCCTAAGAGCAACTTAAGGCGTGTGTGGTCCATAGAAATTTTGAAGGAATTGGAATGGAAGATTCCTTAAGTTAGACATTTGGTTGACAAAATGGATGGAATTGGATTCCATTAAAATCCCCTAAAATCGGTAATCAAAGAATTTATCATTCCTAGGGAAGAATTGGAATTCTTTTATTTATTTCTTCATTAAAAAGACTAAATTTGTCCTTACAACCCAAATATTGTTTTTCAAATCAATTCATTTTTAATGGCATGTTACTTTTTCTTTTAATGTTTATGAAATTAGAGTATGTATGTTTGATGTTTATATAATTGCTATAGACATGGTCACTAGTAATAATACATTTTATATGTTTTAAGATTTTGCAATAATACCTTTTATAGTTTGATAATTGTAGTCCATATTTTATATGTTTCAAAATTTTGCCACAATACTTTGTATACTTTGACAATTTAGTCCCTGACATGTTGCAATTACAGATTGGCCCATGTCTTTAATTTTTTCCACTTTAAGTCTCTTTATTTTGTATGTTTCAACATTTTGCCACAATATTTTCTTTAGTTTGACAATTTTAATCCCTGGTATGTTGTAATTAGATATTGGCCACATATCTATTAATATTTATCACTTTAAGTCCCTTTAACCATATAGGCCCTGTTTTTGTCCATTTTTTCGTCTTACTACTTATATTTCATTACAAATTGACCACACGTGTTTTAATATTTCTCACTTTCAGTCCCTCTGACCATTTTTGATCTTCATTTTGTCCCTTTTCAGTCTATCGATCTGTGTTTCTGTTTTGGGCTTCATTTTGTCATCTTTTTCTCATCGTCATCCTTTATAAATAATTTGCAAACCAAACACAAAACAACGCATGAAATGAATCGAAATTCCCTTCCATTTTCTTTCAACTATACACATGACATATTCCAATTTGTTTGACCAATTCCATTAATTTTAAAAGTATTTTGCGAACTACAAGTTACCTTATATTACTCTGAGATTAATTGCTATTCTTAATTCTGATTCCTTTGACAAAATTCCATTTTATACTCTGCAACAAGAAAAGGTTTTAGAAACCAAATACAAATGTTGTGGTCTAGAAAAGGAAAAGAAGATGCCCCTGAGAATCAAAGTGTTAACATGTATGTTTTTACCCTAACACTATAAAACTTTTGATGTTTTTTATGTTGTTATTTAGTTTTTCTGTTAATGTTTAAAGGTACACTTTTAGTTCCATTGACTCTCAAATACCTTGCTTTATCAAATTACTGCCTTCAATCCATTGATTACAAGCTGGCAAAGCATGGAAACAATATACATGTAGCTATAGCTATGAGTCTATGGCCGTGTTTGTGTATTTCCAGAAATACCCCTCTGGTAATTCTTTACAATTTATATTTGTTATTTAGTAAAAAAAATTATTTATTTAAAAAGTTTACTTTCTTTCAGCAAATTGAGACATCAGGGAAGGGAAATGACACATGGTGGTGGTCTTTGGTGGGTTGAAATGTTGGAAACAAGTGGTCAATAAATATAAAGAGGGTGCTGGTGTTTAAGGTATTAATCAATTCTCTTTTGTGAATGAAAATATAAATATGTGAATTTTGTGAAACACTTCAATTTTTTTGTAGGAATGTTTTCGTTCAACTGTGATGCTTGAACAAGCATCTAATTGCTATTACCTTTCAGCCAAACCACTTATATTAAGAAAGTATGGATTTCATCTCATTCTTTCTGATGATCTATACAAGAAATGCAAGAAGGTAGTGCAATTTTTGTAAATATTTTAGTTGATAATTTTGTTTTACTATTAGTATTTAATAGATAATTTTCTTTAATATTTACTCATAATAGCAATGTATTTATAGCTTTTCATCAAAAAACAACAAATGTTAACTTGAAGAAACACAGACGGTTTTTTTTTTCTTAATATTATTTTTTAAATGGATGACAAGGGTATTTCTAAAAAAATTTCAATTTTTTGCGAACACATCATATGCCAAGTGCAATTTTGTTGGTCAATGTTTTATGTATGGTATGACTATGATAGATTGTTTTTCTTTTTACATTTGTTGGCAAGCAACTTAAGGCATAATAATAGTGTATATATCTCCAGCAACCCGGGACCCAACACGTGTGTGATTTTCCAAGGTAAAACGAATATTGTGTAGACATGTATAATTTTCCAAGGTCCAATGATGTATTCAACATAACCAACTTCCTGGTGCTCTTCAGGATTATGCACAACATCCAACTGAAGAAGTTGATGAATACAAACTCTGATAGACACGAGGTAATTTTTTCATTTTTTAACAAATGTAACTAAACTAACTACTCTTTTTTCATTGTTTAATTAATAGCCTGATCTCTTTGAAAAATAAAAAGGTGCAACACCACATCACCTCTACCACCTAATTCAATGGTGCAACAAAACCAAACAGCAGGGGAGTTTTCCACTGGTCTCTCTCTCTCTCTCTCTCTCTCTCTCTCTCTCTCTCTCAAATGCATAGCATATCCATAAGGGAATAATTGTTTTGTTATTTATGTCAGTGGTTTCGATTTCTAATGCATGCAACAGTGTTTGTGTTATGAGCGGGAAAGTACTTTAGCATCTAGGATTCAATGCGAGTATGTAGTCTGCTTTCTAAAAACTCTGGATGAAATTAGTTTAATAGGAGAAGATTTTCAAATAAGACGTGAGTAGATGATACATACGTTTCACATACATAGGATTAATTTTGCCTAAATCAATGTACATTTTTGTTGTTCCATGGTTTGGTTGTTTTTATCAACTCTAGATTTCATATTCATGTATAATATACATTCTTAATGTAAACCCTTTACATTTCATCACAGTAGTTACTGATTTTGTTGTGGTAGTTAGTGGTAGAACAAGGCTACAGTGTCTTTCTTCCAGAGAAATTGAAGAAAGGAAATTGGTACCTTACAGTTTACATCATAATTTTGTGTACGCATCTGCATTATACTTTCTTCACTGAAACTGTATATATTTAAAAAAAAACACATCACGAATTTGCTTCCACTATAGTTATGCATCCGAAGCCTTCCGAGATTACAAGTAGATGGAGGAGAGTATGTTGAGTAGTTTATTATTTTTTAAGGCGGATTGGGTACAAAACAAATACTTTATAATTTATTTATCTGCTTTTTTTAAGGATACAAATGGATGACTTATGCGAGAACTCTCAGTTGGCTTTTTTGTTTTGGGTTAGTGGCCCAATTGAGTATTATTCGGATTACAAAACATTTTATTTCTGCCTTAATCTTTCAAGTTTCCACTAAAATCCGTGTAACGTTGTGGCATGAAGAACCGAATCAAGTTCCACAATATGAAATGGTCTCTTACTATGCATGTTGAGCTTTCATTTAACAAAAGACATGATTAAGGAAATTTAAAGCTTTGGTAAGTTGGTGTAGCATTGTAGTTCAGTTTTTGGTTTTAGTTTCCACAAAATGTTCATAAGAGAGTTATCTTCGATGACCTCAAATCACCTGTATTTATAAAAAAGTTAATTTCATTAACAATCAGTTTTTTTAGGCTTGTGAATTAAATCTCACTCAATTTTTTTAAGTGAAAGAAATATATTTTGTTTTATTTTGCTTACCAACTATAGCATTGTACTTTTGTTTGTTTTCCTATTAAGATGTACTTCGATGATCATTTATGTTATGTTTTGCGGTGTTTCACAGATTTTGTTCAGATTCTTGCACATGTTTTGTAAATTTTGGGTTTTGATTTTTTGTCATGTTGAAAATATTTTGGCTTCCTACGTATGAAATTTTTAGTTGAAGTTTGGTACTCTGAAATCCAACCAATACAGATGAAATGCTAGGAAGTTGAGTTGGTTAGGTTGAGATGATTATGTCTGATAAAAGAGGGACTTTAACTTGTAACCAAATGGAGTTTAGGAAATGCTAAAGCAGCTATTTTGCTATCTCTGTATCAGAAGTTACACAGTTGGATTCATTGAACTTACCTAATTTTCCCTTATACATCTTCATATTAGTTTATCTTTCTAATGTTCTGATTTGTTAAATGTGTAGACACCTGAGATTCTTCATTTGTTAAAGCAGAAGCTGAAAGAAGTTGATCAAATGGTAAGTTCTTCAACAATACAAAATACAACTTTATAATATTACCTAGACACTGGTACAATTCCTTTATGATATTTGGCATGCCATAAAATATTACATATATATATATATATATATATATATATATATATATATATATATATATATATATATATATGTTAAAATGGAACAAATTCCATAGGAGCGAAATTCAATTTATTCTCTTTTTGTAAAATGGAAAGAAAATACGAATTCTATCAGATTAATTCCTTACCTTTTAGTCCACCGTTTTCCTCAATGAATTTCCATCCATGTTCTTAAATGTTTGCATATCCTACTAAATTTTGGAAATATAGCTTCTTTCGGACTATGTATTGTTCCTGATATGAGGTACATAGCCTTCTTCTTCTTCTTCTTCTTCTTCTTCTTCTTCTTTTCTTTTTTTTCTTTTTTTTTTTGGCAATACGTATTGCACTGATAAAGTGTTGCGTGAATAATGATGTCTTATATTTTCTGGATTTGTGTATGTTTGACTTGATAAAAATGCTTTTCCTTTCAATCTATTTTTATGTTAAAAGTTCACGTAATTTAAAAGTTATGTTATTGATGTGAAATTCGTAGTTGAGTGATTCTTTTTTGTGTTGGAGTTTTGGAGAGCATAGATCTTTGGTATATAATCAGTGGTCTTTCTCTTACTCTTTCTGGATGCTACTTCATAAATAATAACAAATAGTAGTATTTTACTTAATCAGTTCATGTTGCATTACATTGAATTTATTTAGAAGCCCACATCTATTATCTTTAGGTTGTACCTACTTTTGGTATGTTTAAGGGTTCATCAATATGCTATCAAGTGGCGTTTGAAGTTGATCAGTGGCAGTATGTTATTGCTATTTAATCATCGGATAAATTGTTACATTCTTTTGTGCTATAATTTGATTTTTTTTATTTGTCATTAACATCTCTGAGTTTTTCATGTTTTGCATTTGGAAAAATATATTCATGATTTATTCAAAATGTGATCTACTAATTTTTGGTCTAGCATTCCTTGCTAGTTACTTCTATAGTGGAGTCTGTGAGTTTCTTCTTTCTAAAGTTAAACATGTTCTTATTGTCAGATTGGTGGTTTAGGTCCAAAAGGGACTCTTTTTGCAATTTTGGTCCTTAGTTCATAGTTTTTCAACCGCTTTTGCTACCTGGGTCGTCCCTTAGATGTTAACTTTATGAAAATGCCCATTTTGTCCCTGGCATCTTTCATTTTCAAGGAGCATGATGAAATTTCAACAAAATTTTTCTCTTTTCCCTAGAAAGCATTGTCATATATGTTGAAGGAGCATAACTAAACCCTAAATCTTTTAAAATAGAATCCTTTTGAAAATATGGTACTCATTTCATGGTGTGATAATGCATTTGGTCTCTAGGTCTCAACTTTAACAGCCCATATGTTAAATTTATGATATGACCATTTTTCCAATGTCTTCTTCATCTCATTCCATTTCCATGTCACTTTCCTTAAAAATTATCTGTCATAGATTTAAATAGCATAATAACTATATCCTAATAATCCTTGAAAAGATTCTCTAAAAAAGAATATTTTTTGAAATTTTGGTACTTATTTCATGGTTCCATAGCGTTTTTGATCCATGTGTTTTCAACTTTAACAACACAGATATTAAATATTTCAACATGGACCGTTTTGCCCTTGTCTTCTTCATCTCTCTCATTTCCATGTTCAAGCTGCATTATTAAAACCCCAAGAAAATTCATCTCTTTCCTTAAAAAAAGTTGTGTGTGATATCTGATATGCTTAAAAATTATTCTTGTTTTTGTTTCAGATCATCAAAAGACACAAATGTATTTCCTGTGAATAACTTTCAAGATCCTCTTCAAAAGAACTTGTTCTTCATTGGAGCTTCCAACATCTCTCTCTTGCATTCATCGTCATTCAGAGGCTCTTTCTCTGATAAGAATCAAAACATACTTGATACAGTAACTACATCAAAATACAATCACTTGGGTAGAGGGCAGCAAAACAACAGGTAGAGGTAAAAAACTCACGACCCTACCCGAGATCTTTCCATTCAAGTTTTAGAAAAAACTCTCTCTTGTCACAAGGTTTGCCCGGGAAACAACTTCCCAACTCTTTTGTGACAGCCTTGTTGATGATCATGGTCAAAGTCAAAGTCAAGGTCATAATGACTCTGGTCAAAATCTTGGATTAGTGTTGGTCTGAATGTATTAGGTATAACATATCCTAGTTTGTTGGTTTGTTTATGAGGAGGTTAAATTATGTATTGATTATCAATTAACTTTTTTCTCGCTTTTGAATCTTCTTGCAATATTGGCTGATTAACAACACTGTCATCACCTAGTCTGCCACATTTTATATTAAATTCTAAAGATTGTAAAAGCTTCCATACCAATCTTAATTTATGTATTATGATTACTAATTTGTGGTTATTTGATAGGATAATTGGAGCAATCGATAGCAGGTGTACAGGTAGCTATAACTATGAGTCTATGACCCTGTTTGTGTATTTCCAGAAATATCCCTCTGTTCCAAAAACTTGTGCTTATTTTATATCCTCAGGATATGATGTGCTTATTTATTTAGAAGATGATAAATATTGCATGGAAAATGCCTTCAGCACTTATTTAGTATGCCTGGTAGTTCTTTACAACTTATATTTATTATTTACTCAAATTGTTATTTATCTAAAAAGTGTGCTTTCTTTTTAAGCAAATTGAGACATCAGGGAAGGGAAATGACACATGGTGGTGGTCTTTGGTGGGTTGAAATGTTGGAAACAAGTGGTTAATATAACGAGGGTGCTTGTGTTTAAGGTAATAATCAATTCTCTTTTGTGAATAAAAATATAAATATGTGAATTTTGTGAAAAACTTCAATTTTTTTTTTTTTTTTGCAGGAACCTCTTCGTTCAGCTGTGATGCTTGAACAAACATTGGATTGCTGTTACCTTTTAGCCAAACCAATTATATTAAGAAAGTATGGATTTTATCTCATTTTTTCTGATGATCTATACAAGAAATGCGAGCAGGTAGTGCAATTTTTGTAAATATTTTAGTTGATAATTTTGTTTTACTGTTAGTACTTAATAGATAATTTCCTTTAATATTTACTCATAATAGCAATGTAAATAAACTTTAACTTGAAGAAACACTAACAGGTTTTTTTTTCTTCTTATTATTCTTTTACTGGACGACAAGAAAAACTACAATTTTTTGCGAACACATCATATGCCAAGTGCAAATTTGTTGGTCAATGTTTTACATATGATATGACTATGATAGATTGTTTTTCTTTTTAGATTTGTTGGCAAGCAACTTAAGGCATAATAATAGTGTATATCTATCTGCAGCAACCCGGGACCCAACACGTGTATGATTTTCCAAGGTAAAATTAATATTGTGTAGACATGTATAATTTTCCAACGTCCAATGATGTATTCAACATAACTAACATCCTGGTGCTCTTCAGGATTATGCACAACATCCAACTGAAGAAGTTGATGAATACAAACTCTGATAGACACGAGGTAATTTTTTCATTATTTAACAAGTGTAACTAAACTAACTACTCTTTTTTCATTGTTTAATTAATAGCCTGATCTCTTTGAAAAATAAAAAGGTGTGACACCACATCACCTCTACCACCTAATTCAATGGTGCAACAAAACCAAACAGCAGGGGAGTTTTCCACTGGTCTCTCTCTCTCTCTCTCTCTCTCTCTCTCTCTCAAATGCATAGCATATCCATAAGGGAATCATTTATCGTCGGTGGTTTGGATTTCTAATGCATGCAACAGTGTTTGTGTTATGAGTGCGAAACTAGTTTAGCATCTGGCTTATTTTGGAATTAGCTAAACGCCTAAAAGTTTTATATGGCATGTCAAATCTAGGATTCAATGCGACTATGTTGTCTGCTTTCTAAAAACTCTGCATGAAATTAGTTTAATAGGAGAAGATTTTCAAATAAGATGTGAGTAGTTGATACATACGTTTTACATACATGGGATTAATATTGCCTAAATCAGTGTACATTTTTGTTGTTCCATGGTTTGGTTGTTTTTATCAACTCTAGATTTCATATTCATGTATAATATACATTCTTAATGTAAACCCTCTACATTTCATCACAATAGTTACTGATTTTGTTGTTGTGGTAGCTAGTGGTAGAACAAGGGTACAATATCATTCTTCCAGAGAAATTGAAGAAAGGAAATTGGTACCTTACAGTTTACATCATAATTTCGTGTACGCATCTGCATTATACTTTCTTCACTAAAACTGTATATATTTGACAAAAAAACACATCAATAATTTGCTTCCACTATAGGTATGCATCCGAAGCCTTCCGAGATTACAAGTAGATGGAGGAGAGTATGTTGAGTAGTTTATTATTTTTTAAGGCGGATTGGGTACAAAAGAAATACTTTATAATTTATTTATCTGCTTTTTTTAAAGATACAAATGGATGACTTATGTCAGAACTCTCAGTCGGCTTTTGGTTTTGGGTTAGTGGCCCAATTGAGTATTATTTGGATTACAAAACATTTTATTTCTGCCTTAATCTTTCAAGTTTCCACTAAAATTCGTGTAACATTGTGGCATGAAGAACCGAATCAAGTTCCACAATATGAAATGGTCTCTTACTATGCATGTTGAGCATTCATTTCAGAAAAGACATGATTAAGGAAATTTAAAGCTTTGGTAAGTTGGTGTAGCATTGTAGTTCAGTTTTTGGTTTTAGTTTCCACAAGACGTTCATAAGAGAGTTCATTTCATTAGCAATCAATTTTTTTAGGCTTTGATTGTGTTAGTGAGTAATAAATATACTTTCAAATTCTTCACATCTCTTATCGGAAGTTGCATGTTTCCAGTGAATCAAATCTCAGTCAGTTTTTTTTTTAAGTGAATGAAATATATTTATGATGGTTTTTCGGGTAATCATCATCCTAAAGTCCTCTGGAAGGGATCCAAGAAGGTAACCATCATTTTGCAATTACTATGATTAGTCATGTAATGTTTTCTGTGTTTATTTTCAGATTAAAAATATTAATTCTTTTTTGAATAATGGCAACAAAAGAGGCAGAGATGATGCAACAAGTTTCTTTACCAATGATGATGGATATCACCAACTTATGTTAAATTTTCAATGAAAATTGTGGGAAATAACAAGGTACACTGTTAGTTCCATTGGATATTAAATAAGGGTGTTGTTATCATTGAATCTTACAAAATTATGAACTTGCTTTATCAAATTACCACCTTTCTATCCACTAATTACAAGCTGACAAAGCATGGAAGCGATATGCAGGTAGCTATGAGTCTATGACCCTGTTTCTTTAAACATGATGCTTTTCCTTATGACATTATACCTTCAAAATCTAACATATTAACCCACATTTAACGCAATGTACCTTTTTTATTTCTTTCTATTATAACTTTTTATTTTGAATGTTAACCTTTAAAGATATTAATATTATACTTCTAAAATCTAAATTTGTTTTATTTTGCTTACCAACTATAGCATTGTACTATTGTTTGTTTTCCTATTAAGATGTACTTTGATGATCATTTATGTTATGTTTTGCCGTGTTTCACAGATTTTGTTCAAATTCTTGCACATGTTTTGTAAATTTTGGGTTTTGATTTTTTGTCATGTTGAAAATATTTTGACTTCCTACATATGAAATTTTTAGTTGAAGTTTGCTACTCTGAAATCCAACCAATACAGATGAAATGCTAGGAACTTGGTTAGGTTGAGATGATTATGTCTGATAAAAGAGGGACTTTAACTTGTAACCAAAGGGAGTTTAGGAAATGCTAAAGCAGCTATTTTGCTATCTCTGTATCAGAATTTACACAGATGGATTCATTGAACTTACTTAATTTTCCCTTATACATCTTCATATCAATTTATCTTTCTAATGTTCTGATTTGTTAAATGTGCAGTCACCTGAGATTCTTCATTTGTTAAAGCAGAAGCTGAAAGAAGTTGATCAAATGGTATGTTCTTAAACAATACAAAATGCAACTTTATAATATTACCTAGACACTGGTACAATTCCTTTATGATATTTGGCATGCCATAAAATATTACATATATATTAAAATGGAACAAACTCCATAGGAACGAAATTCAATTTATTCTCTTTTTGTAAAATGGAAAGAAAATAAGAATTCTATCAGATTAATTCCTTACCTTTTAGTCCACCGTTTTCCTCAATGAATTTCCATCCAGGTTCTTAAATCTTTGCATATACAACTAAATTTTGGATAGATAGCTTCGATCAGACTATGTATTGTTCCTGATATGAGGTACATAGCCTTCTTCTTCTTCTTCTTCTTCTTCTTCTTCTTCTTCTTTTTTTTTTTGGCAATACGTATTGCACTGATAAAGTGTTGCGTGAATAATGATGTCTTATATTTTCTGGATTTGTGTATGTTTGACTTGATAAAAATGCTTTTATTTTCAATCTATTTTTATGTTAAAAGTTCACGTAATTTAAAAGTTATGTTATTGATGTGAAATTCGTAGTTGAGTGATTCTTTTTTGTGTTGGGGTTTTGGAGAGCATAGATCTTTGGTATATAGTCAGTGGTCTTTCTCTTACTCTTTCTGGATGCTACTTCATAAATAATAAAAGATAGTATTATTTTACTTAATCAGTTCATGTTGCTTTACATTGAATTTATTTAGAAGCCCACATCTATTATCTTTAGGTTATACCTACTTTTGGTATGTTTAAGGGCTCATCAATATGCCATCAATTGGCGTTTGAAGTTGATCAGTGGCAGTATGTTATTGTTGTTTAATCATCGGACAAATTGTTACATTATTTTGTGCTA